ACTACCAGCGGAAACAATCTACCAAAGATAGCGTCCTTCAAAAGTATTTTCTAGATATCACGGTGACCAACACCAGAGACTTCTCCCCGTGCTTTGCTGCCTTGAGTAAATACATATTTTTGACTTCCTGGCTTATTTCTTAGTAAGTTAAAGCATTTCGCTTACAGAACTTGAGGGCAAGCACATAGACAGGTCAGCTCTGAACTGCTCAAGTGTTAGAGTTGGTAAATGCCATCGTGCAAGACTAGGTGAGCATGAAAGAGGTGGCCAGAGGTCCTCTGGGTGGGCAGCGGTTTTCAAAGTTCAGGAATCATGACTCTCTTCTGCTACAGGAAGTTCACCGCAGTCCTTCCCGCCCCCACACCCAGCCCCCGCTGGGCCCCCGCCAGGACCCTTTGGGGCTCAGATGCCCTGGCCTGGAGGGCCCGACAGCCACTCCTGCTCAAGGAGCCCATGACTTCAGAGTCACCTTTGCACGTGTCTCCGGCAAGAGGTGGTCAAACTCTGACCTTCTAAAATAGGTCAGAACGTGCAAGGTCAAGCACTACGTGCTTGTGGAAACCTGACAACAGAGACCAGTGGGATTGATTTAGCCGTCCGGCATTATCAGATTTCTTGACACCAAAGCTGCTAATCCCCAGTTCCAGGTAAGTTATAAAACCCAAAGCAGGACGCAGCAGGTGCGCCTCCTCCAGGTCAGAGAGCCTGCTACCTCTCAGACAGCCCCTCACCCAGCCGCATGGTGATAACACACAGGAGGGGCGAAAGCGGTGAAGGAGACCGTCCTTTTGTGATTAAAACATGGCAACGGTAACTAGTACAAGCCTGTGAAAAGCCCAGTGCACCATGGGGGCAGCAGGAGGACCGGTCACAGAGCAGGTGGGCAGTCAGAGCCGGTGCTCAGGGCGAGCAGGGCTGGGTTCCATTATCTAGCCGTGCACCAGCCAAAGGGCCGGACCTGCTCCAGCTTGGCGGTCTCACCTCCTGGTCACCTGCAGACTGATAATTTCACTGCACATGCAGGCATCCTGGTACTATTTTCAGATAGACGTTTTGTGGTGAAGCAGCTCTGACTTTAAGGAAGTGAAGGTACAGAGTTACGTGTAAAACCTCTGGCAGAGGCAACAGTGTGGTTCTGGTCACCGTGCCCGGCCTTCCCGGCACTTGGGGGCAGGGGGAGGCAGGGATGGGATGGGTCAGGGCAGGGATCACAAACCAGACACGCCCCCAGAGGTCACCCCGGCATCCGGGCCCCTCTCCTGCCGTTGGGTGGCGTCCAGCCGCTCAGACAGTGTCTGCCTCACATGACACTCGGGGAAGCCCAGAGCCCGGCCCCGACGGGAGGTCAGGCCAGGAGGGGAACCACCGCATCTGAAAAGGCCTGCCCGGCCTCCGTTGGGAAATGTGGGGTTTGGGTTGTCTGTGTTTCTGCCACAAGCATGCCATTTCTGACTTTCAAAATTGTGAAAGCAGGCAGCTCATCAGATCCGAGAAGTCACGGGCCCTGTGGCAAACAGAGGGTTTCTGTTCGGAAGGGGAAAATGATATTAACCTATTAGCAGACACATTATTAAAGCTTGTTTATCCGAGTATTAAGTCAGCCCTGATGCCCAGGGCCCCAGCCCGCTGAGCTCTGTGGGAGGCCGGGGTCCAAAGAGAAAGCCTTCCCCGGCCTCTGGGGCAAGGCCAGACCCTGCACCTGCAGCCAGAAGCTGGTGAGGCCAGAACAGCGCTCTGAGCTGCTCTGAGGCCCTCTCAGTAGGAAGTCCTGACCAGCACACACGGAGATGCTTGTTTTTAACCCAATCAGCTGCTAAATGTGATGGGCACCACTCCAGCCTTTCTTCGAGCCTCAGAAAACGGGGATATGGGCCCTGTGGAGATTTACAGGTTGGCATGAGCATGCCCAATGGGGAAGTGTTATTATAAAGAGGAAACACTTTTTAAGTGAGTCCTATTTAAAGAGCTGTAATTTTTGTCAATCTGCAGGAAAACCTTCAGCTAATAGGATTTTGAGCCCACAGATTGCATGAAATAGGACTAGCCTGTCTCTCCGACCAAGATCACAGGAACAGAGAACATATCTCCTCCCCCTGGTCCACCTGAAGCCAGGGTGGTCTACTGAGCATAGTCTTGAAAAGCCACGTGATGTCCTTGCCATCACCATCCCCAAGTTGCTAAAGACATCTGTAGGTCTCTAAGGAAAAACCCTAGCCTAGAAGGGGGAAAAAAAAAAAAATCAACTGGCTCCATAGGTGGAAAGAATGGGTTAATCCACCACCCGCCCCAGCCTTCCCAGATGGCGCCCTTGGGCTCGTCATGCACCACACGTAGACCTGGCCCAGATTTATAGCCCTCCCCAGCTGCCAGCCAGACAGCACGAAGCCAGTGCCAGGCCCTCGGCAGAAACGTCAGTGTTCTCTAATCAATCCACTTCCCACAAACTTTCTGCTAAGGAAAAAACCCCAAACCCTTTGTTTACATAACACTAACCTGTTTAACTGTTTAGGTGTGCCGGCAACCTTGAAAGCTCTAGGCAAGCTTAGAAACTGGACCACAAATGAACACACGTGTGGGACAGGTTGCTGAATGAGGTTTTAAAAAACAAAACCAAACATCTTCTCAATTTGAGTCCAAATCGGTCTCGGACGGGCGTCCCCGACAGGGGTGTGTTTGCCCCCCCAGAGGACAAACCTGGCACGACTGTGGGGCATGGGGTGGTCCTGGCCGGTGCCCCGTGGCCCCGTCTTAGGGGCAGTCACTCTAGGAGGGTACGGATGAGTCAGGTAAAACTGGCAGATTTTAGAGAGGCTTGGATTTCAGAGACAGGGTCGTCGACGTCTGTCCCGAAGAGCTGATGTTACCCCAAACTGGTGCACTCCAAACTGTCTCCCAGGGCAAAGCCCGAGGGTCTGAGGCCGGCCGAGGGCTTGGTCTCCAGTGAGTCCAAGACCATCTCCCATGCAGCTGTAAAGAACAGCCCTGGTTCCCTACAATTTCTCTTTTCTGGGGGGAGGGGGAGGGGTGTCGCGAGAAGCACGGTCCACTCTCCAGACCGATGACTTCAGTTCACGTGAGTCCAGCTCCAGGCTGCTCCCGTCTGCTTCCCGTCTCCAGGACTCACGGGCGGACTGTTCCTGGTTCCTGGAGGCTCTGCTCTTCTCCCCATGCACCCTCTATCTTCCACCCAAGGCCCAATTACCGGTAAACCAGTTATTACGAAAATAGTCATCCTGACACTCACTACCCTAAGCCTGGATTCTCTCTGGCTCTTCCTGATGGAGAAACTGCACGAACCCCTGCATTTCCCTGAAAGACATGGGATCCATTCAGAGTCAGGACTCCTCGCTGCCCATCTGTGGGCGGGAAGGGGCAAGATGCCAAGCCCACCCCACCTTTCAGAGAGAGCGTGAAGAACACGGCCTCTAAAGTGGGCAGAACACAGCCCCTAAAGTGGGCAGGAGGGGGGCGCCTGGGTGGTTCAGTCGGTTTGGGTCATAATCCCAGGGTCCTGGGATCGAGCCCCGCGTCAGGCTCCCTGCTCAGAGGGAAGCCTGCTTCTCCCTCTCCCGCTCCCCCCCTCTTGTGCTCTGTCTCTAAAATAAATAAATAAAATCTAAAAAAAAAAATAAAAATTAATTACAGATACGACGAGATCAAGTGTTTCTGCACAAGGGAGTCCAAGCCATCCGCCTTACATCCGCCAGCACTTAATGCGGGGACCCCAACTCTTTCTTGTTCTTGTCCTAGCTTGTTCATGAAGTCTAAAACCCAAGGAGGTTTGCAGACAAGACCACACAGATACGGAAACAATGGCCAAATCCAAAACTCAGCACCTAAAAACCAAATAGGGCCTCAGCCCTACCACCTTACCCTGACCTTGCGACCGCTATGCACGGCCTCGGATCAAGGGCATGTTTCCCCGTCCCCAAGGGCTGCCGCCAGAACTTGGCCTGTGACCGCATTGCCCTGGACCAGGCCTGGGGCTGTCAGCGGGGAGGAAGGATGGCCGGCGGGAACTGGCACGGCCCCCGCAGGATTGGTGATTAAATGCATGTTCTCAGAGCCACACACGCCCCGTCTAAGGCCAGTGCCACCCCTAATGTCACGCAGCCAGCCACGAATCACCCCACACCAGCTGGCCCACGTCCCCAGGTCGGAACCGAGAAACAATGAGTGGATTTATTACGTCCACGGTTAATACTGGGACTTGGGGCATTCCTGCGTTCACCGGTCTCCCGCAGCTGAGCCCCACCTTCCCATGGGCACGATTCTTCCCAGCAAAGCTATGGCGTTCACCAGCAGTTCCTTACATCATGTTTGGGTCAGCAAAGCTTGGGTACGTTGCTCAAGTTCCTTTCTTGGAACCTGTCACCTGAAGGTGGTGGCAATGCACACGTGACCTGGCTACCTGCAGAGTGTGTGTGCTTGCTGAATGCAGCCGTAACTAGCCGTGCCACATGCTTACATTATGCACCTGCAGGACGGTGATGACGTGGCTGGGAAATGCACCCCACGCTGGGATTTCTGTCCCAGGAGCTAAGCTCGTATGTCCTCCTGAGAAGCCTTCCCAGAGGGCAACGCGTCCTCCACTAATAATGCTGAGTGGGGAACACAGGCAGCCCCAGATCACAAACAGAAGGAAAGGCCTGGTCCAGAGTACCCCATCCACCACCATACCTGACGCACGCCCAGCGAGGTGGGGACGGCTCAGCCCAGGGGGGGCTTGCGGTCAAAACACGTGTCTGCTCACACTGGTGAGTGGAGACGGAACAGGATTTCCTCCCCGACTCCAATTTCTCTTAACAGCCATCATCTCTACTTAAGACTACTTCAACCTTCAGCTGCTGCTTTGCGTGGAACACAAAGCTTTTGGGGTTTCTCTACTGCACCCCTTTGTGACACTGGGGGCAGCCGGGCACGTGAAGAGCCAGTGAATGCAGACCCTACGTGACAAGCCTGGACTCACTTGAGAACCACAGAGTTTCCATCCAGACTGGGACCCCCACAGGCTGCTACACACGGCGGTCAGAGGCACCGGCAGTCGAGGGACACAGGACGCACGTTACCTCGGACAGCTTGATGCACATATTCTCCTGCCAGCCTTCTTCTGGTGGGGATTCCGGAAGGAACACCCAGTCCGCTCCACAGGCCAGGGCGCTCACCAGGGCGAGGTACCTATTCGGAAACGGCACCGATTTTGGAAGGCTGCTGCCGGGCAGCCACAGCTCGGAGGTGGCCCCGGGCAGTCGGGACATGAGCGTGCATTGGCAACAGTGGGCTCCCGCCTGGGGGCGTCTGTCCTGTGGGGCACAGGGCTCTCGAGGGGGCCAAGCTGAGGGTGCTCACCATGCAAATTGCATCTACACATACGTACCCGCAGTGTCTCCCCATAACCTCGAGAACAAAGGTCCTCTGGTGGCTGGAAAAGAGACAAAGGAAACATCCACTTACCACCACTGGGAACCGCATGAAGAGCAAACAGGGAAGTACTTTGACTGACAAGCAGGGTGGAAAGCCTGCTTCATGGTGATGGCCGGCACCTAAGCTTCCAAAAAGGGCCCATTTTCTACAAAAGCAGATGCCACTGTGCTAGCATTTCGAGCTCTTGCGCGCAAAGGCGCTTTGGAGCTACACACTTTACAGCGAGCGCTCGCTCTCCCGCACACACGCGCACTCCCAGGACACCTCTAGGCTCCTCCCGAGGAGCAGGACCGGCCGCGTCGCTCAGCACACGCAGCTCACGCCGGATAGGGAGCCAGCCTGGGCTATGTGCTTGCAGGGCGGGGACCACTCCAGGTGCTAGGAACGACCGCTGGGCTCCCCCAACGCCCCCGGGGCCCTCAGGCGCCAACTGTGCCAGAGGACAAGGGGCCACATCCAGTCCTGCCGCTCGCAGACCTTGCACAGGACTTCCTGCTAGGATTATTTTGTCTTCCCTCCAGCAAACACTTTTTTCTTCTAAAATCGGGGATAGGAGTAACCTTTTACAGTTGAAAATAAAAAGTCAATGGGAAACCATTTTCTTGCTCTGGTTTCTAACATTCAGTAACAAGACTGTATCAAAACACCGGTCTGGGGAGCCGGGAAGGGCGGGCACGGACGTCTACACCGCAGCACATCTAACCCAACGGCCCTCCCCGGGCTCCCACGCATCTGTCACCTCTGGGCGGTGGTCATGATGGCGTCGATAACCTCGATTATCCTGTGCAAGGCGGAGTCGGTGCCGATGGTCATGTCGGTCCCACAGAAGTCGTTGTCGATGGAACCCACCATGCCCACGACGTTGAGGTACGCGTGCTTCTGCACCTGCTCCTTGTCGATCTCGCCTGCATGGGAAACCAGCACCGGCCGTGACCGGGAGCCGCGCCGACGCCACGGGCGCCAGGCTGCTGAGAAACAGGGCGTCCGGGTCGAGAAAGCCGGGGTTCTACACTGGCTTCCTGCGTGCGGTTTTGGCTTCTGAACCACCTCATTCTGCACACGTAGGGCGTGACGGCCGGACGGGGGCGGGGCAGTGAGGGGCGGACGGGCACGCGGGGCCTGTGCCCGGCGTCCGGCGGGTCGAACCCGACTTCTCTCTGGCCACGGCCTCGGGCACGCGTGCCTCCGAGTGAGGACGCGGCCCCGTCACAGAATTCGGTACTTAGGGACGCCGGTTTCTCACACGTGTGGGGCTGGCTGTCGGCGGGGATCTACCTCCCGGCTCTCAGCAAACACTGCACGGTCGGCAGATGTGCTCGTCAGCGGGGCACAGGTGGGGACCCGGCAGCGACCCCTCTGGGCCACCGCGGAGCCTGCGGCAGGCCCGTATACAACAGGTGCCCTTCGACTCGAGCCATGGGCGGCCGACGGCCCACCTCCAGTCCCTGAACGGACCTCAGAGGCTTGGGGCAACGGCTTCATGAAGGTGCTGTTCCTTCAGGCAGTTTGCTCCCACTGTCATGTTTTATGCTGAACCGGAATTACGGATCACCACCCTTCCAAGACAGAGGTCACGGAACACAGGGGGTTCTCGAGAATCCTGCCCCCACGGCCTGAGAAGGGACGCGACCAGATCGGCCAGCAGAGCGTTTGCTACATCTCAGCTCAAGTCTTGCAACAAGCGGACATTCAGGAGCCCCCGGTGGAGCGGGCAGGGGCGGTGAAGGGCAGCCCAGTGCGCCCTCTCCTCCGCCCCTGGGTCTCCTCTGCCGAGTGGGGACACACAGGAGACCTACTAGCTCAGATGGCCGTCCGGAGCGCTCCCCGAACCTGTGCCAGGGGTGGGCAGTGCCTGGCACGGGGCAGGACCAGGAACACAGAACTCATCGTTCTCGGAGGCACAGGGTCAAGTGTCTGGGTGGTGGAGCGGAAGACCTGCACCGTCCCCCCTCATGCCTCTCCACAGTCAGATGGGCGGACGTGTGAGGTCAGAGCTCTCTGAAGGGAACGGAAAACGAACGGAGGGAACAGAAAACCCACACGAGCAGCACACAGAGGCAGGGATGTACCATTTTGGGCCAGCTCTTCCAACAGCCCGCTCCACTCTTTCCGGAAGATATTGGCCCCCGTGAGACTTCCGTCCCCGCCGATCACACACAGGTTGGTGATGCCCCGCTGAACCAAGTTATGAGCAGCTCTCAGGCGACCTTCCCGAGTGCGGAAGGCTTTGCAACGAGCACTGCCAATAATGGTCCCTCCCTGGAAAACAAACAAAACCACACGTGTTTATTTTCTTCCTGCAGGAGAGGAAGTGGGGGAGCTCAGCGCATGTGAGTACCACTGTATACGTGCAGGACTTGCAGAATTAGGTTCCCCTCATTTAATCTTTTAAGTCGCTCAAGTGTGGGTACGATGGACAAAGGCATGGGCATCATGCCCAGGGGTAGCCAGCGAGGGTCAGGAGACCGGGACAGCCGTCAGGTAAAGACGCAGAGGAGAAGAGTCTGCAGGATGACCCAGCCATGCAGGAGGCCTGTGGTGCAGTGGTAGAGCGTGGGGCGACTGACCCCACACCCCCGAGCCTCAGATGGATGCAGCGCTGGCCAGAGAAGCGGCACGTCCAGCAGCCCCTGGTACCATCAGAGTTCACCATATGTACGGGCAAGACAGAGACCGGTGAGCCAAAGGGATTTTTTTCCTTTTTGCACATCTCCCTGCTGCACCCTTTTTGAAAGCTAAATCTCAAGAAAACTCAAGTTGGATCATCCAAACTTCCAAGAGTGAGAAGTCGTGATTTTCCACATTTGGTTTTTCAAAAACAAACGATTCCTAGTTGCACTTGGAAAAAAGCAGGGTGCGCTTATCGGATGCGCTTATCAAGCCTGCATTTGTGGGCCGTCCTTCAGGTACACGCTCACTTCTTAAGGCGAGGCGCTCCCCCTGCAGAGGGAGCCTGCGCTGATGACAGCGAGTGCGGTGAGTCTGCATTGTGGGCACAGCAGAGGGGGGCCGGGGCCGAAGGTGCAGGGCACACAGCGAAGATAAGCTGGCTCTCTGGACTTTGCTTCGACCAAGAGCGATCGGAGGATCATGTGATTTCTAACAACTGGGAGCTGCGTCAGCAGCCCATCCACACTGAGGGGATCCCATGCTTGGGGCCCCAGGAGCGAAGCTACAGCTGAGGAATGCAAAGGAGGCGCCCCTCCCTGCCCCCACACACTCAGGGGCGCCTGCACGTCCTGTCTCCCTGGGCAATCACATGTACACCCACTACCGTCTCCCCACCGGGCTGACGGACCTAGCACGTCGCGTGAGCGTGGGTGCGTGAGGCACTGATGTGATCTATGCACTCACTGCGACATGATCACTGCAAGAAGGTTCGTAGATCTACTTATCAGTTGACATCATTAGCTTTTTTGGTCGTAAGAACTTTCCAGGTCTACTATTTAAGAAAGTTTCAAAACTGTAATTATTATGCAGCACTGGTATGAAACATAGGATTTATGTGAAATGATCACCGTACTCAAGTTCACTAACCCGTCCATCACCTCAGTCACCTGCACGTGTGTGTATGTGTGTTGAGAACTAAGACTTATTCTCTTAACAACTTTCAAAGGTACAATACAGTGTTATTAACCACAGTCGCCATGCTTGTAGGTTCGATCTAGAGCTCACTGGTCTTCAGCCTGGAAGTTTGTGCCCTGTGACCGGCGCGTCCCCATTTCCCCTCCCCCAGCCCCTGGCAACCACTGTTTTGCTGTTTCCGGGAGTTCAGCTTTTTTAGATCCCACATGTAAGTGAGATCACAAGGTATTTGTCTCTCTGTGTCTGACTTATTTCACTCAGCATAATGCCCTGGAGGTCCGCCCACGCCGTCCCAGCCTGCAGGAGTCCCTTCCTTTCTTCGGGCTGCATACAGTCCACTTATATCTGCGTGCCACGTTTATTTGATTCATCCTTCCGTCACACTAGGCACCTTCGGTGGGATGGTACCAATTTGGTTTCTATTTTAAAAATACTCAATATGAGTTACAGATTAATACATGCGTTTCAACAGGTCAAACCACGAGTGAAGAACTTTTCGTCAAGTCCATTCTTTCCATGTAATCCGCCTCTCCGAGGATTAGGAGGCTTCCCTTGGTTACTATGTTTGGGGAATTTATAGGCGTGAAACAATCAGGCAGGTTTCTTTTAAATTCAAAGTAAGCCAATGTTTCGCCTGAAGCCATACTCGCCTCATTCCTGTGCACACCAGAACGATGAGCCCCAACTGGTTCAGGCCAGAACCGGGAGGCTGGGTTCCCACTAAATCCTGCCGCCCTGGGAGGGACCATTCCCAGGCTTTGTTACACTGACACCAAGTGACTCTCAAAAATCCAACAGGCGGGGGTATTTGCTGGGAACACAGCACCAACAAACCGAGGCGGCCTCAATGTTAATCTGGTCTTAAAAAAAACAAAAACAAACCCGAAATCCGCCACAAGGACCATAGGGAACACTAGCGGTCACACGTAACTTTTTACTGCAAGAATAATCCTCTGTTTCCACGATGTAAAAGCTTTTTAAAAATGTTAATGAAATGACAAATTAAGGTGGCGTTTTTGGTTTTTTACCGTGTAAGTAGGTGAGAATAACGCCAGGCAGCACATTAATCCGTGTTAAGTATTACCGGAGCCTACACATAAAAGGTTTCCAACGTTTTAAAAGCGGGACTTACTTTAGAGAAACAGAGTATTAGAAGTCAGCACGTACCACTTGGAGAATGCTCGAGACGCTCTCCCAACTGGCTTCAACAATGTTTCTGCCGCCATCAACCATGCCTTGGTAACCCTGGGGGAAGAGAACGGAAATCCTTGTAAAACGGGGTTAAACCCTAGTGAGACATTAGATATTAGATGGATCTGTGAATTCTGTAAAATGCAAAGGATGAGGACCCTGAGCCCCGAAGAGCCTGGTGGTTAGGAGCAGTGCAAGACGAGCGCTCGTTCTTAGCCTTCAGTGTGCAGAAAAGCCTCCTGATGGAATCTCCAGTGAAGGGGAACTTCTTGCCAGACCCGTCCGCAGTACGATGGGGAGTAAGCTAGTTTATCACCTAACAGTGCCTAAGAGCCTGAAACGGGAGAAACTTACCCCAAAATGGTTTGTAATCTACCAAACTCGCATGCAAACCGTGGTGTCAATCACACGGCATTCCTGTCGGGGCCTCAGTTGGCCAGGGCGATCCATGCTGCTCTGGATAGACACACCAGATTTCGGAAAAGAACCACAGCCATCAGTCGGCCCTACCTTCCAGTTAGCGGCAGCTGACTACCCCAAGGGCCGGTGAGTGTGCGGAATGTGAGCACGCACTTTCGCCCGGAGACCCAAGGACCACGACCTTCCGACTCCAGGTGCATCTTGCTTCCCCCCCAGACTATACAAGACCAAGGAATCCGGAAACATCCACGAGAAACATCCACGAGCATCTCTACCTGCGTGACTCTCTCCAGGACATTTAACCTTACAAAGGGGATAGGCACTAACCATTTAGAAAGTTTATCCTAACAGATCGCTACAGGGGATTCAGATCTCCTAATCTAGTGAAGGTCAAGAGGAAGGGAAAAAAAAAGATCGTTCAAAAGGAAATGGGCCACGGAGTAGAGACCCGTGTGTGGAAGTTAATCAACTGCACAGGTGTCTTTACGGCCGTCGATGCATGCACCTGGGCTTACAAGTGTGCCCTTCCCGCCAAAAATGCGCTACTATGTTACGTGACTCACTGGGTCAATACGTTACATCTCAATAATATGTAACACATATTACCCTATTGTATACAATACACAGAACGCATTACTACATTATCTTTATATCAAGAAACACGGTATTACAGAATTATTTCTATATTTTATAGAGAGAATACATCTACACATACTTTTTTTTTTTTAAAGATTTTTTTATTTATTTGACAGAGAGAGAGATAGCGAGAGCAGGAACACAAGCAGGGGGAGTCGGAGGGGGAGAAGCAGGCTTCCCGCCAAGCAGGGAGCCCGATGTGGGACTCGATCCCAGGACTCTGGGATCATGACCTGAGCCAAAGGCAGATGCTTAACGACTGAGCCACCCAGGCGCCCCTACAC